ACCACGAACCTAATCTCGTAACCTTTGAATTAACCTTTTAATTAACATTTCTTCACGCCAGACACTAACAGCAACGAACATCCTCTGCACGCCATCACAAAAGATAATCCAACCTTCAAAACCCCAACAATCAAACGCACAAAATGGCGGACCACGAACCCAATCACAAAGAATCACTCGTCGGTGCGGCCGATGCGAACAGCATCAATTCGAACCTTCACCCTGAATATCCAATACGTTTGATAGCTCGAATCAGAGAGATCGGCGACGCTCCTTTGAAGAGGACCCTAAATCACCTCGGTGGGTGGCCAGCAGTGGTTGGTCCATCCTGGAAACCGCCGGCGTTCTCGATCGAGAAGCTCTTGGGTCGCTTGCGCGGCGAGTACAACGTGGGCGTGCTGCTGGAGCAATGGGTCGGCCCGGACGACAAGAACTCCTCAGCCAACATCCTCCAGGTGCGCCGGCAAAGTAAGGTCCCTTGGTCGACGTCTCTGCACAGTATGACAATCGCGAGATGTGAGAGAAGGGACGCTGGGCGGTAATCAAAGCTAAACTGGCTTCTTTCGAAAGACATCGAAGCGATTTCTCGACGCACCAGCCCGTCCGAGGCGCATCCTCTGATCACCGAATCGATCGCTGTTCACAGCTGGACCAGATGCAGCTCGCTTTGCCCAGCAGGGACTACTACCTGAAGAAGAGCAGCGAGGCAGCGTTGAAAGCTTACCACCGGTACATGACCAGCGTCGCTGTGTTGCTGGGCGCGGACCCTCAGACTGCTGCGGAGGAGTTCGAGAAAGTGATCGCCTTGGAGAAGCAATTGGCCAATGTGAGGAATTCGGGTGTTTGTTGCGGAGGTTCTGCGTTAGCTCTTTGGTTTAACACGTTGAACGCCATGGGGTTGCCAATGGCTTTCAACCAAATAGAATTAGCACAGTTCACTCGATTAAACGATTAATCTCGCTTGCCGAAGGTTTCACGAGAACACAGTGGAATCTATCTCCTACCTAACCTGTGATCAAACTCTAGGCCTCCCTGCCGGAAGCGGATAGACACGACACCTCCGCGATTTACCGGAAGCTGACCCTCCGCGAGCTGCAGTACGAGATACCGCAGCTGCAGTGGCAGGTGTACCTGCAGGAGTTCATCAACGCGAACGTAACCGAGCAGGAGCCGATCGTAGCATATGGGATGCAGTACTTCGTACAGATGGGTCGCATCATAACGAAGACAGACCGCAGGTACCTGCCCCGCGACTACTCTGTAAACTTGACAATTAATCGACACGCCTTGTAGAACCCTGCACAACTACATCCTCTGGAGACTGGTGATGTCCATAATGCCGCACATGATAGACGAGTACCAGCAGAAGAGGGTAGAATTCAGGAAGATCCTCCTGGGGATACTCAGCGAGAGGAACAGGTGGGCCGAGTGCGTCGAGTGGACCAACAAGAAGCTGGGCATGGCGGTTGGAGCACTGTTCATACGTGACAACTTCAATCACGAGAGCAAGGTGACTATCCACTGAACCTTTACCACGGAACCACGTAACTGTCGATGATTCTGGCATCAGGAGACCGCGCTGGAGATGATCCGCACGATACGGGAGGCGTTCAACGAACTACTAGCAGAGAATCACTGGATGGACGACGAGACCAGAGCTGTAGCTAAGAGCAAGGCTGACTCGATGATCGAGAGGATAGGGTATCCGGAGTTCCTCAAAGACCCCGTGGAGCTATCCAACGAGTACGTAACGGTGAGCAACTGAAGATTCTTTGTTATTCCTGCTAGGAGTGAGTGAGACTATCGTGGAGATTGTCTTCTGGGTTTTCAGCTAAACATATCTGAGAACCAGTTCCTAGAGAACGTTCTGGCTGTGCTGAAGTACGACGCTTACCATAACCTCCAGAAACTCCGGAAACCCGTGGACAAGGAGAAGTGGTCCACTGAGCCAGCTGTGGTGAACGCCTTTTACAACCCTAACAAGAACGATATTGGTAAATGTCTTGTATTTTAAAACTTTGCACTTGAGAGGTGACTTACGATTCCATGCGGTGAAACTAAAATTTGATAACTCTTTGCGGACGAAGAGTTTTAAGTACTAACGTTTGCAACGTGTGAAGCTGAATTACACATTGAATGCTTAAATGGTAGTAAATCATTCGTTTGTAATTTAGTATTCCAATTATGAAGATTTCGTTCGCAATATATAATCTATCAATCCGAGAAATATTGAAATAGCTTTGTTTCAATGCGTGTGATTTCTCTTCGAGTTAGTTTCACGTGTCGTTTGTACGTCATCGGAAAATGTTCAAATATTCCTAATGGAAAACTTCCGAGTGCAAAGGGTTAAATCTTGTACTTTCGTTGTTCTTGTACAAAAACCAGAGATTGTTTATTTAAGTGTCTCGTTTGTGTTCCAGTGTTCCCGGCGGGAATACTACAGCCACTCTTTTATTCTCAGCACTTCCCGAAGTCATTGAACTACGGTGGCATCGGCGTGGTAATTGGCCACGAGATCACGCACGGTTTCGATGACAAGGGGCGACAGTTCGATAAAGATGGTAACATGATGCACTGGTGGAATAACGCCACTGTGGGCGCTTTTCGGAAAAGGGCTGAGTGCATTGTCAATCAGTACTCCAGTTACAAGCTCCAAGATGTCGACTTGTACATCAACGGGAGGATGACACAGGGAGAGAACATCGCAGACAATGGAGGACTCAAGCAGTCGTTCAGGGTAATTGATGTAAATCCATGTACTTCCAAATAGGGACACGAATCGTTCAATGATAGTCATTTTACGAAAGTAATATTAACCCTATGCACTCCAAAAATTTGTCGCTAGAAATATTGAATTTATTTTTATGAGATATAGATAACATTTCTTTCAACTAACTTAACGAGGAATCTGTTCACAAAATAAGGGGAACAATGCTATTTTATTTCCCCATTTCACGTATCGGCAGATTACTGAAGACTCAATGTTAAATACGGAATTTTACAATTTTGATGCAACAATCGAGTGGTGACTGAGAGGCACCTTTGGAGTGCAAAGGGTTGAGAATTGTACTATTGCAAATATTTTATTAGCGAGCAAAACTGCAGTCGAATGAAACCGAGTTCTATTTCCTCGAATCTCAGGCATACAAGAAATGGGTGTCCATTCATGGGGAGGAACCTCTGCTTCCTGGCATCAATCTCACCCACGACCAGCTGTTCTTCCTAAATTATGCTCAGATCTGGTGTGGGTCCATGAGGCCAGAGGACGCTCTAACAAAAATCAGAAGCAGCGTTCACTCTCCCGGGCCCATTAGAGTTTTGGGTCCTCTTTCGAACAGCGAAGACTTCGCTAGGGCCTATGACTGTCCGCCTGGCTCTCCGATGAACCCAACGCATAAATGCAGTGTTTGGTGGGTTTGCTTTATAGTCAGTGGATAATTAACACTAAAACTATCAAGCATTTGCACCGTCTTTTGAACATTTCTTTATGATCTATAAGCGTGAATTTATTGAGACACCAGTTGGCTTGCATTTCAGTTCAGGTGCTTCAGCTTCTTTAATTCTGTACCTTTGCAGTAATTCTCAAAGAAATTAGGAATTGCTTGTTTTGACACATCTGTCAGTTCCATTGTTAAGAATGTAATGGATTTTTATAATTATAGAGTTCTCGTGGAAGTTGGTGTTTAATGTTGTTCACGGTGGTTGCAGGTAATGGTGGAGTCGTCCCGAGACAGGGCGAAGCAGAATGGCACAACAATTTTCTTACTACGAGTCGAAGATGAAGAATTCCGAAGAGGACGTCGCAAGACCAGCTTGTTCAGTTCGTTTCAATTGTCAACCACGATGGGACCACAGAAGACTAGCATTTAATCGCCGTGGTACACCGTGGCGTGAATCTCGTTGCACAGAAGAAGTTCTGCGGAAAGAACTCGATTGTCCTCGAAGGAATGATATCGGGGCATCGGTGCGAGTGTGCATTGAGCGTGTCCGGATGTGCGTTTCAACGTAACAGTGTCAGCCTAAAATCCCACGGACAAAGAGTATATACTATAGCTATTATGCGAATCGTTTTGCGGCGAAGAAACGGAGGCAAACGGGAAACAACGTGCGGCATTCGCGCGTATTCCGTCTGTGCTTGTCCGCCGCCTACTACCCATCGGTTACATCGTTCTCCAGATGTTACAATTATTGTTAATTGAAACTCGGACACGACCGACGATATTTCAGCGAAACTTCAAATTGTGTACAAACCGACGCTAATGGATTTCGAAACGTATTCGAAGATATTTGCTTGAATCTAATGGATCTAACGTTTATTTAACGAATAAAAACTTTAATATGAAATCATGTGGTATCATTATTCATCACCTAACACCCGAGCACACTTAATCCTTTATATCGGAAGCTTTTCGATGGAAACACTCGAAAGATTCCAATGAGACATCGGCGATATTATTTGAAACGAACTAATGAGGAAACGTACGTAAATTAAGAACGGAAGTTATTTTATATGAATATTACGTATATTCATGTGTTGTACGAAACTTAATATTGTTTATAACATTTCGCAATTTTGTTGTATTAAATCAGATGAAGAGTGATAGTCAACTCTCGAGTGCAAAGTGCTAACATCTGATTTGGGAAGTTGATTGAGTAGATCCAACGAAATTTCCTTGTTTAATAATATAATTATAATATACAAAAATTGTAAACTATAATCTATAAAATTATCGACTGCAATCTGCAAAAGAAATATTCCTGAAAAACAAAAAGATTGTTTGTATTAAACGTTTTTCTTATATTCGTAATGAATAAGACAAGGATAGAAGATTTTGGTAGCAAGCGACAGTAGCGCCATCTAGCGGCCGGGCATTTTCGAAGCTTTTCCCTATCCCTGCAATGTGTAAGACAAGGACAGAGACAGTGTGCGACAAGGACAGAGATAGTCTCTTTCAAATCCACCTCCTTCGAAAAAGCATCTCATCAGTCCCTGGTACCTACTCGTGAAGCATCAGGACTAAAGAGGTATCCTAAATGTAGACGAAAGTGGCGCCACCTAGCGGTGTAGCCATGTACTACACGCGGCACACAAATAGGAAAAAACAACGGTATCAGCAGCGAATTTATTAATAACTTGATTTCGACGAATAATTCATTAACATTTGCAATTTCATATCATAAAATATACCTTCCCCTACATTCACATAGCGCTTTCGATGGGATTTTGTGTCCCGTTAATTATTTATTGATTATTCTTTAGGACAATGTTCAAATGTAACTAAGAACTTTTAGACACGTGCCAAATGAAACATTTAATTTCTTACTTAATAGGGATAATCGGTGAATGCTTTTGATTGCAGAAATTAGAGTAGATCTCTAGAAACATTTTGGTAGCAGTTTCAATGGCAGTAGAGCTGTAATTAATGAGTTATTAGCGATTTTCAGAAGATGTAGTGGGTGCGAGAAGGACAGTAGTAGATAATTGCTATCGACACTTGGCGCCACAACGGTCAAACTTCTAGCCAAATGGTATCAGTATTCTCTACTAGGTGGCGCCACTACGTTTGTCTAAAATGACAAACATAGTAGTACGGGAGAGAGAGGGACAGAGATAGTTGATATTTCGCGCCATCTAGCGGAGGTGTCTGGTATGATTTTTGCCAAAAAGTTCGAGAGTTTCCACGGTAGATGGCGTTAGTAGTTAATTGCCGTATCCTCACAACCATAATACCTTCCAATAATCGCTAATAACTCATTAATTACTGCTCTACTGTCATTAACACTAGTACCAAAATGTTTCCAGACATCTACTCTAATTTCTTCAATCAAAAACATTCACCGATTATCCCTATTAAGTAAGAAATTAATTGTTTCATTCAGCACGTGTCTAGAAGTTCTTAGTTCCATTTGAACATTTTGTCAAAGAATAATGAATAAATAATTAACGGGATACAAAATCCCATCAGAAGCGCTATGCGAAGGTAGGGGAATATCCAGTTTATTATATGAAATTACAAATATTAATGAATGGTTCGTAGAAATCAAGATATTAATAAATTCACTGCTGCCACTTTTGTTTTTTCCTATTTGCGTGTCGCTTGTAGTACATGGCCGCCACCGCCAGGTGGCGCCACTTTCGTATGCATTTCGAATACCTCTTTGGTCCTGATGCTTCACGAGTAGGTACCAGGGACTGATGAGATGCTTTTTCGAAGGAGGTGGATTTGAAAGAGACTATCTCTGTCCTTGTCGCACACTGTCTCTGTCCTTGTCTTACACATTGCGGGTATAGGGATAAGCTTCGAAAATGCCCGGCCGCTAGATGGCGCTACTGTCGCTTGCTACCAAAATCTTCTATCCTTGTCTTACTCCTTACGAATATAAGAAAAACGTTTAATACAAACAATCTTTTTGTTTTTCAGGAATATTTCTTTTGCAGATTGCAGTCGATAATTTTATGGATCATAGTTTATAATTTTTATACATTACAACTGACAATTTGTGTCGAGTTAATGGGTTATTAAACATTCTATCTCAGTAGTTGTGCTTTAATCAATTGTTTAAGAATGAAATTACTTTTACATACCTTCTCGTGTGGCGATTCCAACTTTCGAGGACTCATTTTAAAGGGTAAAGAACGCAGTTTAACTTGCCCTATGACCCATTTTTCAATTGTGATCGACATAGCTTTGTCGCTAATAATTTATTGAAGAAACAGAAAAATTCTATGTATATTCTGTGTCTGCTTTTGCATACAATGTAATAATTGATAACAGAAGAATAATACCTAATTATAATTCGAAGTAATTCAATGATATTTCTATTTAAATTCTATTTAAATTCTCCACCGCGAGTCTCACGATATAGGCAAGGGGTTAATTTAAATATTCTATTTCATAGTTTCGCTGTGTCAAATTAAGTGATGACAGAGTCACCTCTCGAGTGCAAAGGTTAATTTGGATTAAAAAGAATTCAGTAATATTTATGTTAAATTGCGTTTGAATTCTTCACAGCGTGTCTCGCGCGATTAACCCTTTGCACTCGGATGTGTTTGACTAGAAGTATTCAACATTTTCAAATGAGTTATAGGCGACAGTTTACAGACTGACTGACAGATTTTAACTGAATAGAAGATATATAAGTTATAATGTTGAATTATTACTAATGCTAAGCTAGCGAAAGCAAAAATGCCCGACGTTCATATATCTTTAGTCTAAACAAAGGCGATAGAAAGGCAACCAGATGTGTCTGGATTTTGTCACACGAAGTCAAGAGACTCCAGACAAGGCCATGAACGGTCTTGTAAAGAACTAGACGGGTTTCAAAGTTATAATAAAGTCACACAGTAAAATATATACCGTTTCATTATTTAATCGCCCATTTCCAATAGTTAAGAACCAAAGTTACTGTTTCTATATTTCACGTGTTTATATAGTTTAATATTGTGCGTAAGATTTGATAATTTTGGTACATCAAATCGAATGCTGAGTGAGAGTCACCTCTCGAGTGCAAGGGGTTAACCAAGGGAAGGGAAGGGATCAATGAAACAGATGAACCTTGTATTTGTTGAAAGATTTATTTCTAGTATTGGAACATATCATCCATACATAGCACGGTCAATACCGATCTCGCTTTTATTTTTTGTTTCACTTGTAAAAAAGGTGGAAATAAAAGTAATATACAACAGACAGAGGGCTCTTCCTTTCTTCCTTTCTTTCACTTCCGCTCGAAACCCGGAAAAAAAGCCGTCGCGAACTCCCAGTGAACCGACGAACCGACGGAACACGTCCTTCATGGAGAACTCGAAACCAAAGAAACCAAATGGAATCGCTCGACAATGATCGCGAACGGAAAGGAACCGCTCGGGCTAGTCGATAATCAACGGTAACCGGTCCGCGATCGCGATCGAGATCGCCGCTCGAACCCGGACAAACAAGGGAAACGGAAATTACAGAAACTAAGGATCGCTCGATCGCGAACGCGATGAATGCTCGTCCCGTGAGAGAAAGGAAAGAAGAGAAAGGACGTCAGCCGGTCGGAGAAAGTTCTTCCTATTAATCGTGAATAACAATATGGCTACCAGCGGTCGTCCGGTCTATGTACATGCAGCGAGTGGAATACTCGATCGGTTTTTCGCCGGGAAGTGGAGCCGGGAACGCCATTTTCCCTTCGAGAAATAAGTAGAGATAGCGAGACACAGTATTCCCAAGATTATACCTGAAAATCGGTACTGCAACCGGACACTAATCGCGCAGTGATGTTGATTCAAAGTTGAGAAGAGATCCGAGCTCGGAACAACGCGAGAGACATATTAATGCAACGTGAAACTTATTCTTCACTTGTTCCAACTGAAACCTTCACCACTCGAATACCACGGTTTCGCCGATTAAAACGAGTCCAAACACGGTACACTTCGGAACATGTTTACTTATTTAATAAATTACAACAATCTATTTCCTTCTAGTAAATTGTGATTTAAAGTGTGTCGTGTTGGTACTCGTTTCACTCGGGAGAACCTCACGAATGCGTTGGTGGAAGTTTCATTTAGAAACAGAGCTTTATAGAGAAGTTCGATCATTGCATTAGTGTCTCTCACTACTGTGTATTATAACTACTCGATCTTGTAGAGAGGACTCTAATGATGAGGATGATTACCAGGTACTCATCGCGAGAATACTGTACTTGCTACAGTATTCGATGTTCTCTGTTTCCAAAATAAACAATATGAGTTCCTTACGTTCCTCTTTTTATGGTTGAATACCGTTTACCCTCGAGCTTCACGAAGATTCATTTATGCGAACACGCGAGCCGATTATTCGATTAATAACGGAACGATTGAAGAGAATCGATAGTCAGTCGGATGTTTCGAAAGAAAGAAGCTCCCGTTCTTGCTCCGCCATCGCGTGTTTCTTCTAAAAAAAATAGTCATCTCTTTATTAATGTCTCCCCCTTACTCACTCTCTCTCTCTCTCTCTCTCTCTCGCTCGCTTTCACTCGCTCTTCATCACTTTCTCTCCCTTTCTCTCTCTCTCGCGTTCTCGTTCTCTATTACTCTACACCCTGATGCCCTTTGCGTGATCGATTATATGAATTTTTATTGCGTCCACGAGGTCGGATACGTCTCTTTGTAGTTAATTTCTCATTTATCCCAGAAAAATATATATGTTTATATGTATATGTATGAATATACGTACACGTATATATTTTATTTATATACACAACAGAGCCTCAACAAGGAAACATCCCGATTCTGCGGAACACAGACTGAAAACCTAACCCGAAATCATTTTTATCCTGCGAA